TTTTGATTTCCAGAAAGAGTGGACCTCTATATAAATGATATACGTAAGAAAAGAAACTTACGGAAGGAAAACAGGATTACGGTAGCACTGTTCCTGGAAGAGTGAAATAGGGGTTAACCTAATGTGTTGCAAATAAGAAATTTACTGCAGCGAAGAGAGCTTTTGGCACCTGCAAACTTTTAAACAGGATGTCACAAAAAAAAAAAAAAATGCCTTCATTGTTCATTGAGAACTAACCAAGAGCGCCAAGTCGGTATTCAATGGATACAAATACCATGCCTTGTGAAACGAAATTTTCGCACGGTACCTTATACCCATAGTCCATTGAGCTTCCGAATTCAAAACCACCACCATGAATGAAAACCAGCACTGGATAACCCGAGAATGTCTATGTGAATCAATTATAGATAATTAATTAAGTAAAACAGAAACCATTACTTAGACTTGCATCAGCTGTAAATTACAGTTTGGCTTTTCAAGTATGCAAACTTTGTTTTTTTTAATTTATTTCGACCAGTACTGCATTGTCTGATAGTCATGTTGTTGGTGATTTTGTCTTTCGTTTTATCGCCTCAAAATTGTGTAAACGAAGGCTCTACAAAATTATCACACACTTTTCACAATTGAATTTAAGCAATTTTTAAGCCCAACGGTGACTTTAGGGAAAAAAGATCTAAAAAAAGATAAAATTAACACTTTGTAAGTGTTAAGATTGTGATGCAAGGCTAGATCTGAGTTTTTTCGGGTCAGAGGATAGAATGCAGCGAAAGCTTGAAGAGTCGTGTTGAGATGCATCATTCTACGTTTTGCGATATCTCGCAAATCTCTGCAAAATCTCTGATATCATTCCCGGAAAATTTGAACAAATTTTTTAAATTTCAGTTCCTAAATTCTTATTTTAAATTCCGCTCTTTTTTAATTCCGACCTTCTAAATTCCTTGATTTTTTGTTAATTTTCATTTTTCAAATTTTGTTTGACTTCGATTTTCAATTTTAATCTTTTAAATTCTAAAACTAAGGTATATCTAGGCGGAAATTAGCCTTGCAAAAATCGTGATTCTTTATTTGTATTTGCAAAACTGTGTAAAAAAAGAAAAAAAACAAACGAACCCTTTCTGCTGGGGCCATTACATTGAGAAACAAGCAGTCTTCGCTGTGATCCATGTTAGCTCGTATGCCATCTCGATGATGTGGGTAGCAAGATGGACCAAATTTTTTCGCACTAACTCTTTCCTCTGAGTGATTAGCGATACGACGAGGCTTCTACAATGAAAACATTTTGATTTATTGCTTTTTTTTCAAAAAATTGACCGCAATTTAGTATTTTCATTTCTTTCATTTTACTACTGATGAGTAAAATAGTAATGGCAATGGTAAAAACACTTAGTTATGGATCATAGCAATAACTGTTAGTGTAAAAGCACTAAAACATTGCCGCTGGAGAACTCACTATCCTGGGAACATTTCCGATTGCCCCACACAGCCCTTATCAACAATTTCCAAAGTATTATCTCTCTCTTCTTCGACGAAAAAAAAAAAACTAAACAAGATTGCTGCGCATTTTACAAGAGATTTTCCAGAACTAGCAAGGAAGTAAGCTGAGAAACAGAGAGCTATTTCGAGTTGAGAAATTAGGACCGGAGGTGAAGGACCGATTTAAATATCGTATCGATGAACAAAATTAGGACAGCAGTCTGTGTTTCATCCCTTGGCTGTAAACACTGATAAGACGCAGCCTAATAGCAGTCGGAATCATTACCGCAGCCTTCTAGACGCTATATGTAGGATATAATCTGCTCGTTCAAGGCTAGTGTAAAAAGAACGAAAAACGACGATAACAAAGCTACCTCAAAACGTAGTTCGCCGAGAGGAGGAAGTGCGTACGGAACGCCCAAATATACGTTTGCGACAAAACCACTTTCTGTTGTGTGTTGAAATCCCTCCACATAGCCTAATGGCAGCGTGTAAACAACTGCACCTCGACCAAGCTGGGCTGTCGCAAATCCGCACCAGGCTAGCCACAGTACCAGAAATCGAATACACCACATTGATCAGGCCTTGAAACCACTTAGTTTGCAATCAATTACCGTCGTTCGGCTGCTTATCAGTAACGTCGGGAATCCTGCACTCACATTTCCCGCAATCTTAGTAC